AATCAGCGCCTTCCAAAGCACATTGAGCTGACACAGAAAGTGGGAAAGAACCAGGGCTTTTTTTCAGCTGGAACTTGCTGGAACTCAGTTCTGTCGCCTCTTAGGTGGGCACCATTGCCATTATAAGAGGTCTTCATTCTGAGTCCCAGCACCTCTTTTTCTGGAAAAATAGCACTGGAAAGAAGTCTTTCAACTTCCTCCTTCGGCTCTCTGTATTTTTTTCAACAGAGAAACCAGTAACATGAATAAGCAGCAGCGAGTGGGCAAACTGAGAGGCTTTTGCAGGGCCAAAGAATTACCTCAGAAGTGTTCGTTGTACAAACAGGCGCCATCTTGGTAGCCTCAATCACAGAGGTTTTTCCAGTTGTTTCCATATAAAGTAGTGAGGGGGGTGGGAATGGCTTCTCAGTGTGTATATGTTGATCCCCGTTTACACTATTATGTTAAAGAAGTACACCAGAATTTAGTGGCGTTGGATATTTTGGCTCCCAAAATGTCCTCGCCAGCAATAAAATCCTTTAGTCAGAACTGAGCGATGGGCAACACACTGTCGTGGGTCAGGAGCTGTGTGAGGAGCCAGTAGTCAAAACTGAGGTGAGGACAAAAGCATACCCTCCAACATTTCTCCGATGAAAATAGGGGTGCCCTGTTCTGTAACAACAATTTTACTACAGTGGTACCTCAGGTTAAGTACTTAATTCGTTCCGGAGGTCCGTTCTTAACCTGAAGCACCACTTCAGCCTCCTGCTGCCGCCGCGCTGCCAGATCACGATTTCTGTTCTCATCCTGAAGCAAAGTTCTTAACCTGAAGCACTATTTCTGGGTTAGCGGAGTGTGTAACCTGAAGCATATGTAACCTGCAGCATATGTAGCCCGAGGTACCACTGTATTTATACCACATCCATCTGCCTGGGTTGCTCTAGCCACTCTGGGCGGCTTCCAAAACATATAAAAAGGTAATAAAACAGTAAACATTAAAAAACCTCCCTATACAGGTTGCCTTCGGATGGCTTGGGGATTGTATAACTCCATACCATCCAACATTTCTCCGATGAACATAGGTGTGAGGAGAACCTGAGCTTACAGGGTTAAACAGCTCAGACTGTACGCCCTGCCTACTGGTGGGAGGGGGGGAAAGCTACGTCAGTTCCGAGAGACTCAAGTCTTTGTTCTGTCTCTCTACTTTCGCTTTGAGGAGAGAGGACGTGTTTTCGCGATGCTGTTCGCTGTGATAGATAATGGATAGCCTGCTGTAAATAAAGCTGCTTTTAGCTGCTAAGATCCTGTGTGGAGTTTATTTAAGCACACTGAAGAATGCACTGGAGTGTTTTGGTTTCCTCTAGCTGCTGACGAACTCTGCTATGCTCAGATGTCGGATCATTGGAATGCAGAGGCCCGTGATGGGGGAAGCGTGCCGGACGCTTATCTGAGCAATAAATCAAGATATCCCAGAGGTTATGGGGGCAGTAATTGCAATTAGGGGAAGCCTGGCTTTGATGTGCTGTGTGCTTAAGAAGGCTGAGAAACTGAGAAGCTGTTGTTTTGCTGCCGGAATGCAAAAGTCCTGCTTTGAGGCTTCGCCTGGGAGAAAAGCTGCAAAGCTGGATGCAAGCTGTGTGCTGCAAAGAGCCACTGGAGGCCTCTCCTTTGAAGCTGGCTGGTACGCGTGAGTACTTCAAAGCCCCAATGGTAACACTGGGGGAGGAGATGGCTGAGCTCCAGGACTTTTATGATGTCCCGTTTGAAAAGCTCACAACCCAGTCCTGGGATATCTGGGTTAGAAGAGTCAGGGGGTGGTTTTTGGCCACAGGGTTCTGGGATATAACCCAGAAGGAGCCTGCCCCACCCATGCCAGTTGCTGCTGAAGAAGGAGGAGCAGAACTGGAGGCTGCACTCCTGGAAGATAAAGAGCTCTTCTTCAAAGCGTGGGAAAGGCAAGCCGAAGGCAGCTGGCAGAGACACTGAACGTAAACATTTGGCTGCCTCTATGGCTGTAGTCAAAAGTTGTCAACAGGATGCAGAGCTGGCTTTTGTGGTCGACTCAGGAGCATCTCATCATCTTGTGCCATCTGGTGGATTCCTGGAGAACTGCACCTCTGTAAAAACTGGGAAGACTGTCTGTTTAGCAGATGGGACTCGACACCCACTCACGCAGAGTGGCTCACTGTTTTGTTCTTTCTTGCAGGACTCAATACAGGCTTTTGTTGTTCCAGGACTGTCCTGCGCGTTGCTGTCTGTCAGTGCACTTCTTGCTGAGAACTACAGAGTGTGTTTTGAGAACAATAAGTGTTCTATTTCCAAGAATGGACAGCACCTAGTCAGTGTTGAATGTAAAGACAGGTTGTTTGTGATAAATGCTTCTTTTGCAGGTCCAGATGACACGGATGACACGGAGGAGGCTCAAGCGCAGTGTGCCAATGTTCCAGTTCATGATGCGTGTCAACATCTCTGGCACCGACGTATGGCACACGTGTCGTGGGGGTCGGTGAGAAGGATCCCAGAGTATACGCAAGGGTGCAAAATGAAACCATGTGCTAAATTTCTAGATTGCAGAGCGTGCAAGTCCGCAAAGGTGAAAACGTGCACATACCCTAGGTCTGAGAGGGTGACCACTAGGGCTTTTCAATTAATTCATGCAGATTTGTGTGGTCCGTTTTCTGTGAGCAGTTTGGGCGGAGCCAAATATTCGCTGGTTCTGATTGATGACCATACTAGGAATTCTTGGTGTTTCACGATTCGGCGCAAAGATGAAGCTGCGCCGCTAATCAAAGACTGGATTGTGGCTGTGGAACTGCAGTTTTCCACACGGGTGCAAAACTTTCAGAGCGATCGCGGTGAGGAGTTCACCGGGTCTGCACTGCAAAGTTTCTTCCGCAAAAGGGGATTCAACACAGGTTGACTTCTCCACACAGTCCCCAACAGAATGGGATCGCGGAACGCAGGAATAGGACTCTAGGGGAGATGTCCGCAGCTCTTTTGTTTGATGCCGGGCTCCCACAGCGTTTTTGGGGGGAGGCTTGGCGAACGGCCAACTTTGTTCTGAACAGGTTGTTCAATTCAGTAGTAGGTGACACACCGTATTTCTTGCTTCATGGCGAGAAACCGAAAGTGCACTACTTCCGCGTTTTTGGCTGTGAGGCTTGGGTCCCCATACCAAAGGCCAAACGCAAGAAAGGTGAACCCAGGTCCCAAAAGATGATTTTTTGTGGGTATGAGCCAGGGACCAAGGGGTGGAGGTTTGCGTATCCGTCAGGGGATCAGTCCAGGATTCTGCTCAGCAACAGTGCTGAATTCTGTGAGCAGAGTGGCTGGGCAAGGATACATGGGAACCCCGACATCCTGTCAGAGAGTCTGCTAGACTCTGCTGATGAAGGAGAGGAAGAGGTTGAACCTGCGACTGAGGCTCAGAGTCCAGACCCAGTGCAGGCAGAGGGGAGAACTTCTCCCAAGGCTGTGAAGAGTGAGCAACGCAGTGCTCCATCTCCCCCACAGGTTCGGCTGAGAAGTCCAGAAGGCGCAGTAAGTCAGAGGGGGAGCTCTCTGATGCCAAGGACGTTCTGGCTGGCCCTAGTGGGTCAGAGGGGGTTCCTGAAGTAGTGCTGCGCCGTTCAACACAGACGACCAAGGGGAAACCTCCTGACAGGTTTGCCGTCACTAGTGTGTGGGTCGGAATGGCACAGTGTGAACCCGAGAGTTTTGAGGATGTTCAGAAACTGCCTCAAGAAGAAGCCAGGAAATGGCATGAGGCGATGCAGAAGGAGATGAACTCAATGGAGTCTCTAGGTGTGTTCTCCCTCACGAAGTTGCCGGTGGGTGAAAAGGCAGTGGGTAGTCGCTGGGTTTACCGTCTTAAGCCCACAGCGGCAGGAGAACCGCAGTATAAGGCCAGATTAGTGGCGAGAGGATTCACGCAGCAGAGGGGGTTGCATTATACGGAGCTTTATGCGCCCACGTGTAGGAGTGAGTCTCTACGCTTGGTCTTGGCCATCGCTGCACAAAGAGGTTTGCTGGTGCATCACTTTGATGTGGATGTTGCTTACTTGAACTCAGACCTCCAGGAGGATCTGTACATGCTTCCTCCTCCAGGGTTTGAGGGCAATGAGCGAGGTACTGTGTGGAAACTTCACAAGTCAATTTACGGCCTGAAACAGTCGGCCAGGAATTGGAACTTGTGCCTGAATGAAGCTTTGGAGAAGCTAGGTTTCAGGAAGAGTCTTGCTGACAGTTGCCTGTTCCTTAGAGGATCAGGAGACTCACAGGAACTGGTGTTGTTTTACGTTGATGACATCATCCATGTTGGAAAGGCAGAGAAACAGGTGCAGAAGTTTGCCAAAGAGCTTGGGAAACGGTTTCAGCTCAAGAACCTGGGTGCAGTAAAGATCTACCTAGGTGTCCAGATAGCGAGAACTGAGGATGGTAGCTTCTTGCTCAGTCAGAAAGGCAAGATTGAGCAGTTGCTGGAGAAGTTCAGAATGTCCGATTGTGCAGGAGTTCGGACACCCATGGAGACGAACTTCGTGAAAGATAGCCAGCAAGCAGAAAGTGCTGAGTTTGAGAATGCTGAGCTCTTTCAGTCAGCTCTAGGTAGTCTGTTGTATCTGTCCCAATGGAGCAGACCAGACATTGCCTTTGCTACCAACCTGCTAAGTAGGGAAGCGTCAAAGCCCAGTGTGAGTGCTTGGCACGGTATCAAGCGGGTACTGCGCTACCTGCAGCATACCAAAGACTTCTGTCTTAAGCTGCCAGCTGAAGGTGAGGCGAAGCTCACATGCTATGCGGACAGTGACTGGGCGAATTCGCAGGACCGCAAGTCTGTGTCTGGGTTGGTGATTAAGTTTGGGAAGTCACTAGTTGGGTGGAAGTCCCGGAAGCAAAGTCTCATTGCGCTGTCTTCTACTGAGGCTGAATTCAGTGCACTGTCAGATTTGTGCCGGGAACTAGAGTTCTATAGATGCTTGGTGCAAGAGATCTATGGGGATTGTAGCTTGCCCATCACGGTTTGGGAAGACAATCAGCCTTGTTTGAAGTTGGCTGAATCTGCGCAATTTAAGGCGAGAACCAAGCATCTGGACATACGTTTCCAAAATGTGTGTCAGAGTGTTCAATCAGGTTTGATACGACTGAAGTACTGTACCAGTCACAGTAACCTGGCCGATGGATTTACCAAACCTTTAAGCTTCCAGCGCCATGGGGAGTTTTGTGGTGGTTTGGAGTTGGGGGTAAGTTCTGTACTTACCGTCCCCACAGTAGCGCAGGGCGAGAGGGGGTGTGAGGAGAACCTGAGCTTACAGGGTTAAACAGCTCAGACTGTACGCCCTGCCTACTGGTGGGAGGGGGGAAAAGCTACGTCAGTTCCGAGAGACTCAAGTCTTTGTTCTGTCTCTCTACTTTCGCTTTTGAGGAGAGAGGACGTGTTTTCGCGATGCTGTTCGCTGTGATAGATAATGGATAGCCTGCTGTAAATAAAGCTGCTTTTAGCTGCTAAGATCCTGTGTGGAGTTTATTTAAGCACACTGAAGAATGCACTGGAGTGTTTTGGTTTCCTCTAGCCGCTGACGAACTCTGCTATGCTCAGATGTCGGATCATTGGAATGCAGAGGCCCGTGATGGGGGAAGCGTGCCGGACGCTTATCTGAGCAATAAATCAAGATATCCCAGAGGGACGTCCTAAGGAAAAGCAGGATAACATCAGAAACCAGGACAGCTTCAATAAATCTGGGACTGTCCCGGGAAAATTAGGGACAACTGGAAGGTTTGCAAAAGTGGGGAAGTTAAGATCAAGGAACAAGCGAGAAGTCATGAGTGAAGGACAAGCCAAAGGAGAGGGTGAGGGAGGAGGCTTATTGGTTTGTTCTTGTTCTTGTTTTTATTGTGTATTTTGGTTCAAATCCCCGTGACAGGGTGAGCACCCGTTGCTTGGTCTCTGCTCCTGCCAACCTAGCAGTTCAAAATCATGCATTTTTATGTTGTAAACCAACCTTAAATCTACGGATGAAGGGCAGTATATACAATTAATAAAATAGTAACAATACTATAGGCAGGCATGCCATTGTTCAGGAAGGTCTACTGTATAAATAGGGGTATAAATAGTAAAGTAGTATAAGTAATAAAGTAGCAGTAGTAAAGTGAAAATAAAGTGGTAGTAAAGCAATAGTAAACCAGTAGTGAAGTAGCAGTTAAGTAATGGTAAAACAATAGTAAAGTGGTGGAATAGTAGTAAAATAGCAATAAAGCAGTAGTAAAACAGTAGTAAAGTAGTAAGGCAGTAGTAAAATGGTAGTAAAATGGTAGCAAGGTAGTAGTAAAACAGCAGTAAGATAGTAGTAAAATAGTAGTAAAGTGGTAGTAAAACGGCACAATAGTAAAGTAGTGGAACAGTAGTAAAATAGCAGTAAAGCAGTAGTAAAAGTAGTAGCAAAAGTAGTGGTAAAGCCGTAGTAAAGCAGTAGTAGAGTGGTAGTAAAATGGTAGCAAGGCAGTAGTAACGCTGTAGTAAAGTAGCAGTAAGATTGTAGTAAAGCGGTAGTAAAATGTTAGTAAGATGGTAGTAAAGCGGTAGTAAAATGGTAGTAGGGTGGTAGTAAAGCTGTAGTAAAATGGTAGTAAGCTTGTAGTAAAAGAGTAGTAAAGTGGTAGTAAAGCTGTAGTAAAGTGGTAGTAAGATTGTAGTAAAAGAGTAGTAAAGTGGTAGTAAAGCTGTAGTAAAATGGTAGTAAAGTGGACCTGCTTGTTTTTTTGAAGAGCCCAGAAGAAGGCTCCCCAAACTTTCTAGACCTCAGTGGGCAATCTTGGATTTTTCAAGAAGTGCTGTGAGCTCCAACACTTTTGGTAACTTCTCGCCCCAAGAGACAGACAGAAAGTACGTTTAAAAGTTGGATCCGAAAGAATTAATCAGCGCCTTCCAAAGCACATTGAGCTGACACAGAAAGTGGGAAAGAACCAGGGCTTTTTTCAGCTGGAACTTGCTGGAACTCAGTTCTGTCGCCTCTTAGGTGGGCACCATTGCCATTATAAGAGGTCTTCATTCTGAGTCCCAGCACCTCTTTTTCTGGAAAAATAGCACTGGAAAGAAGTCTTTCAACTTCCTCCTTCGGCTCTCTGTATTTTTTTCAACAGAGAAACCAGTAACATGAATAAGCAGCAGCGAGTGGGCAAACTGAGAGGCTTTTGCAGGGCCAAAGAATTACCTCAGAAGTGTTCGTTGTACAAACAGGCGCCATCTTGGTAGCCTCAATCACAGAGGTTTTTCCAGTTGTTTCCATATAAAGTAGTGAGGGGGGTGGGAATGGCTTCTCAGTGTGTATATGTTGATCCCCGTTTACACTATTATGTTAAAGAAGTACACCAGAATTTAGTGGCGTTGGATATTTTGGCTCCCAAAATGTCCTCGCCAGCAATAAAATCCTTTAGTCAGAACTGAGCGATGGGCAACACACTGTCGTGGGTCAGGAGCTGTGTGAGGAGCCAGTAGTCAAAACTGAGGTGAGGACAAAAGCATACCCTCCAACATTTCTCCGATGAAAATAGGGGTGCCCTGTTCTGTAACAACAATTTTACTACAGTGGTACCTCAGGTTAAGTACTTAATTCGTTCCGGAGGTCCGTTCTTAACCTGAAGCACCACTTCAGCCTCCTGCTGCCGCCGCGCTGCCAGATCACGATTTCTGTTCTCATCCTGAAGCAAAGTTCTTAACCTGAAGCACTATTTCTGGGTTAGCGGAGTGTGTAACCTGAAGCATATGTAACCTGCAGCATATGTAGCCCGAGGTACCACTGTATTTATACCACATCCATCTGCCTGGGTTGCTCTAGCCACTCTGGGCGGCTTCCAAAACATATAAAAAGGTAATAAAACAGTAAACATTAAAAACCTCCCTATACAGGTTGCCTTCGGATGGCTTGGGGGTTGTATAACTCCATACCATCCAACATTTCTCCGATGAACATAGGGACGTCCTAAGGAAAAGCAGGATAACATCAGAAACCAGGACAGCTTCAATAAATCTGGGACTGTCCCGGGAAAATTAGGGACAACTGGAAGGTTTGCAAAAGTGGGGAAGTTAAGATCAAGGAACAAGCGAGAAGTCATGAGTGAAGGACAAGCCAAAGGAGAGGGTGAGGGAGGAGGCTTATTGGTTTGTTCTTGTTCTTGTTTTTATTGTGTATTTTGGTTCAAATCCCCGTGACAGGGTGAGCACCCGTTGCTTGGTCTCTGCTCCTGCCAACCTAGCAGTTCAAAATCATGCATTTTTATGTTGTAAACCAACCTTAAATCTACGGATGAAGGGCAGTATATACAATTAATAAAATAGTAACAATACTATAGGCAGGCATGCCATTGTTCAGGAAGGTCTACTGTATAAATAGGGGTATAAATAGTAAAGTAGTATAAGTAATAAAGTAGCAGTAGTAAAGTGAAAATAAAGTGGTAGTAAAGCAATAGTAAACCAGTAGTGAAGTAGCAGTTAAGTAATGGTAAAACAATAGTAAAGTGGTGGAATAGTAGTAAAATAGCAATAAAGCAGTAGTAAAACAGTAGTAAAGTAGTAAGGCAGTAGTAAAATGGTAGTAAAATGGTAGCAAGGTAGTAGTAAAACAGCAGTAAGATAGTAGTAAAATAGTAGTAAAGTGGTAGTAAAACGGCACAATAGTAAAGTAGTGGAACAGTAGTAAAATAGCAGTAAAGCAGTAGTAAAAGTAGTAGCAAAAGTAGTGGTAAAGCCGTAGTAAAGCAGTAGTAGAGTGGTAGTAAAATGGTAGCAAGGCAGTAGTAACGCTGTAGTAAAGTAGCAGTAAGATTGTAGTAAAGCGGTAGTAAAATGTTAGTAAGATGGTAGTAAAGCGGTAGTAAAATGGTAGTAGGGTGGTAGTAAAGCTGTAGTAAAATGGTAGTAAGCTTGTAGTAAAAGAGTAGTAAAGTGGTAGTAAAGCTGTAGTAAAATGGTAGTAAGCTTGTAGTAAAAGAGTAGTAAAGTGGTAGTAAAGCTGTAGTGAAATGGTAGTAAGATTGTAGTAAAAGAGTAGTAAAGTGGTAGTAAAGCTGTAGTAAAATGGTAGTAAAGTGGACCTGCTTGTTTTTTTGAAGAGCCCAGAAGAAGGCTCCCCAAACTTTCTAGACCTCAGTGGGCAATCTTGGATTTTTCAAGAAGTGCTGTGAGCTCCAACACTTTTGGTAACTTCGCCCCAAGAGACAGACAGAAAGTACGTTTAAAAGTTGGATCCGAAAGAATTAATCAGCGCCTTCCAAAGCACATTGAGATGACACAGAAAGTGGGAAAGAACCAGGGCTTTTTTCAGCTGGAACTTGCTGGAACTCAGTTCTGTCGCCTCTTAGGTGGGCACCATTGCCATTATAAGAGGTCTTCATTCTGAGTCCCAGCACCTCTTTTTCTGGAAAAATAGCACTGGAAAGAAGTCTTTCAACTTCCTCCTTCGGCTCTCTGTATTTTTTTCAACAGAGAAACCAGTAACATGAATAAGCAGCAGCGAGTGGGCAAACTGAGAGGCTTTTGCAGGGCCAAAGAATTACCTCAGAAGTGTTCGTTGTACAAACAGGCGCCATCTTGGTAGCCTCAATCACAGAGGTTTTTCCAGTTGTTTCCATATAAAGTAGTGAGGGGGGTGGGAATGGCTTCTCAGTGTGTATATGTTGATCCCCGTTTACACTATTATGTTAAAGAAGTACACCAGAATTTAGTGGCGTTGGATATTTTGGCTCCCAAAATGTCCTCGCCAGCAATAAAATCCTTTAGTCAGAACTGAGCGATGGGCAACACACTGTCGTGGGTCAGGAGCTGTGTGAGGAGCCAGTAGTCAAAACTGAGGTGAGGACAAAAGCATACCCTCCAACATTTCTCCGATGAAAATAGGGGTGCCCTGTTCTGTAACAACAATTTTACTACAGTGGTACCTCAGGTTAAGTACTTAATTCGTTCCGGAGGTCCGTTCTTAACCTGAAGCACCACTTCAGCCTCCTGCTGCCGCCGCGCTGCCAGATCACGATTTCTGTTCTCATCCTGAAGCAAAGTTCTTAACCTGAAGCACTATTTCTGGGTTAGCGGAGTGTGTAACCTGAAGCATATGTAACCTGCAGCATATGTAGCCCGAGGTACCACTGTATTTATACCACATCCATCTGCCTGGGTTGCTCTAGCCACTCTGGGCGGCTTCCAAAACATATAAAAAGGTAATAAAACAGTAAACATTAAAAAACCTCCCTATACAGGTTGCCTTCGGATGGCTTGGGGATTGTATAACTCCATACCATCCAACATTTCTCCGATGAACATAGGTGTGAGGAGAACCTGAGCTTACAGGGTTAAACAGCTCAGACTGTACGCCCTGCCTACTGGTGGGAGGGGGGGAAAGCTACGTCAGTTCCGAGAGACTCAAGTCTTTGTTCTGTCTCTCTACTTTCGCTTTTGAGGAGAGAGGACGTGTTTTCGCGATGCTGTTCGCTGTGATAGATAATGGATAGCCTGCTGTAAATAAAGCTGCTTTTAGCTGCTAAGATCCTGTGTGGAGTTTATTTAAGCACACTGAAGAATGCACTGGAGTGTTTTGGTTTCCTCTAGCTGCTGACGAACTCTGCTATGCTCAGATGTCGGATCATTGGAATGCAGAGGCCCGTGATGGGGGAAGCGTGCCGGACGCTTATCTGAGCAATAAATCAAGATATCCCAGAGGTTATGGGGGCAGTAATTGCAATTAGGGGAAGCCTGGCTTTGATGTGCTGTGTGCTTAAGAAGGCTGAGAAACTGAGAAGCTGTTGTTTTGCTGCCGGAATGCAAAAGTCCTGCTTTGAGGCTTCGCCTGGGAGAAAAGCTGCAAAGCTGGATGCAAGCTGTGTGCTGCAAAGAGCCACTGGAGGCCTCTCCTTTGAAGCTGGCTGGTACGCGTGAGTACTTCAAAGCCCCAATGGTAACACTGGGGGAGGAGATGGCTGAGCTCCAGGACTTTTATGATGTCCCGTTTGAAAAGCTCACAACCCAGTCCTGGGATATCTGGGTTAGAAGAGTCAGGGGGTGGTTTTTGGCCACAGGGTTCTGGGATATAACCCAGAAGGAGCCTGCCCCACCCATGCCAGTTGCTGCTGAAGAAGGAGGAGCAGAACTGGAGGCTGCACTCCTGGAAGATAAAGAGCTCTTCTTCAAAGCGTGGGAAAGGCAAGCCGAAGGCAGCTGGCAGAGACACTGAACGTAAACATTTGGCTGCCTCTATGGCTGTAGTCAAAAGTTGTCAACAGGATGCAGAGCTGGCTTTTGTGGTCGACTCAGGAGCATCTCATCATCTTGTGCCATCTGGTGGATTCCTGGAGAACTGCACCTCTGTAAAAACTGGGAAGACTGTCTGTTTAGCAGATGGGACTCGACACCCACTCACGCAGAGTGGCTCACTGTTTTGTTCTTTCTTGCAGGACTCAATACAGGCTTTTGTTGTTCCAGGACTGTCCTGCGCGTTGCTGTCTGTCAGTGCACTTCTTGCTGAGAACTACAGAGTGTGTTTTGAGAACAATAAGTGTTCTATTTCCAAGAATGGACAGCACCTAGTCAGTGTTGAATGTAAAGACAGGTTGTTTGTGATAAATGCTTCTTTTGCAGGTCCAGATGACACGGATGACACGGAGGAGGCTCAAGCGCAGTGTGCCAATGTTCCAGTTCATGATGCGTGTCAACATCTCTGGCACCGACGTATGGCACACGTGTCGTGGGGGTCGGTGAGAAGGATCCCAGAGTATACGCAAGGGTGCAAAATGAAACCATGTGCTAAATTTCTAGATTGCAGAGCGTGCAAGTCCGCAAAGGTGAAAACGTGCACATACCCTAGGTCTGAGAGGGTGACCACTAGGGCTTTTCAATTAATTCATGCAGATTTGTGTGGTCCGTTTTCTGTGAGCAGTTTGGGCGGAGCCAAATATTCGCTGGTTCTGATTGATGACCATACTAGGAATTCTTGGTGTTTCACGATTCGGCGCAAAGATGAAGCTGCGCCGCTAATCAAAGACTGGATTGTGGCTGTGGAACTGCAGTTTTCCACACGGGTGCAAAACTTTCAGAGCGATCGCGGTGAGGAGTTCACCGGGTCTGCACTGCAAAGTTTCTTCCGCAAAAAGGGGATTCAACACAGGTTGACTTCTCCACACAGTCCCCAACAGAATGGGATCGCGGAACGCAGGAATAGGACTCTAGGGAGATGTCCGCAGCTCTTTTGTTTGATGCCGGGCTCCCACAGCGTTTTTGGGGGGAGGCTTGGCGAACGGCCAACTTTGTTCTGAACAGGTTGTTCAATTCAGTAGTAGGTGACACACCGTATTTCTTGCTTCATGGCGAGAAACCGAAAGTGCACTACTTCCGCGTTTTTGGCTGTGAGGCTTGGGTCCCCATACCAAAGGCCAAACGCAAGAAAGGTGAACCCAGGTCCCAAAAGATGATTTTTTGTGGGTATGAGCCAGGGACCAAGGGGTGGAGGTTTGCGTATCCGTCAGGGGATCAGTCCAGGATTCTGCTCAGCAACAGTGCTGAATTCTGTGAGCAGAGTGGCTGGGCAAGGATACATGGGAACCCCGACATCCTGTCAGAGAGTCTGCTAGACTCTGCTGATGAAGGAGAGGAAGAGGTTGAACCTGCGACTGAGGCTCAGAGTCCAGACCCAGTGCAGGCAGAGGGGAGAACTTCTCCCAAGGCTGTGAAGAGTGAGCAACGCAGTGCTCCATCTTCCCCCCACAGGTTCGGCTGAGAAGTCCAGAAGGCGCAGTAAGTCAGAGGGGGAGCTCTCTGATGCCAAGGACGTTCTGGCTGGCCCTAGTGGGTCAGAGGGGGTTCCTGAAGTAGTGCTGCGCCGTTCAACACAGACGACCAAGGGGAAACCTCCTGACAGGTTTGCCGTCACTAGTGTGTGGGTCGGAATGGCACAGTGTGAACCCGAGAGTTTTGAGGATGTTCAGAAACTGCCTCAAGAAGAAGCCAGGAAATGGCATGAGGCGATGCAGAAGGAGATGAACTCAATGGAGTCTCTAGGTGTGTTCTCCCTCACGAAGTTGCCGGTGGGTGAAAAGGCAGTGGGTAGTCGCTGGGTTTACCGTCTTAAGCCCACAGCGGCAGGAGAACCGCAGTATAAGGCCAGATTAGTGGCGAGAGGATTCACGCAGCAGAGGGGGTTGCATTATACGGAGCTTTATGCGCCCACGTGTAGGAGTGAGTCTCTACGCTTGGTCTTGGCCATCGCTGCACAAAGAGGTTTGCTGGTGCATCACTTTGATGTGGATGTTGCTTACTTGAACTCAGACCTCCAGGAGGATCTGTACATGCTTCCTCCTCCAGGGTTTGAGGGCAATGAGCGAGGTACTGTGTGGAAACTTCACAAGTCAATTTACGGCCTGAAACAGTCGGCCAGGAATTGGAACTTGTGCCTGAATGAAGCTTTGGAGAAGCTAGGTTTCAGGAAGAGTCTTGCTGACAGTTGCCTGTTCCTTAGAGGATCAGGAGACTCACAGGAACTGGTGTTGTTTTACGTTGATGACATCATCCATGTTGGAAAGGCAGAGAAACAGGTGCAGAAGTTTGCCAAAGAGCTTGGGAAACGGTTTCAGCTCAAGAACCTGGGTGCAGTAAAGATCTACCTAGGTGTCCAGATAGCGAGAACTGAGGATGGTAGCTTCTTGCTCAGTCAGAAAGGCAAGATTGAGCAGTTGCTGGAGAAGTTCAGAATGTCCGATTGTGCAGGAGTTCGGACACCCATGGAGACGAACTTCGTGAAAGATAGCCAGCAAGCAGAAAGTGCTGAGTTTGAG